CAATGCCCAGCATTTTTTTTTTTTTATTGCAGTTTGCCAGAGCCGAACCCACCACCCTCGGTATATGAGCCGCCCTGGGCTCAACTTTAAACAACACACTTTCCTCGGAGAGACAGGAAGCCAGAAAGAATGAGGACCCCACACCTGGGCATTGCACCTTTGACCTGATACCATTCCCCTCCCAGGCTCAGGGACCTCATGTTGGGGAGCTGGGGTGTATGGTCATCAGGGCTCATTTACCTCCAAAGTCACAAATGTTAGAGGGTCACCTGGGAGCTTGTTTCTGAATAACCTTTTCCCACTTTGTTAATAGCAATTTCTAGGAAACCATAGCCCTTCTCACAGAAAATCCTGGTCTTCAAAACACCGTTTGCCATTGACTGCATTCTGTTGTTTCTCTAGACCAAGGGTTGGCAAATTATAGCCTGATGCCCATTTGTGTAAATAAAGTTTGACTGCCATGCTTACTGGTTTATGTATTGTCTATGTCTGCTTTCTGGTGACAATGGTAGTTGTGACAAAGACTCCATGGTTCATAAAATTTATAATATTTACTATTTAAGGAAAAGTTTGCTGACCCTTGCCCTAGACACTCTTTTTACTCACTCAAATCCTTACTGAACACTGCCCTGTGCTGGCTCAGAGACAACCATGTAGACAGGCTTGGCTGGGCCTGCAAGGTATATACTGGTTCAAGGACACAATTGCTGAGCAATTAAATAATCCAGTGTGCCATGCTGGGAAGAATGTAGGGGTCTGGCCTGTTCAGAGGCCAGAGGAAGCAAGGAGTGAGCAGAAGCTGTGGAGTTCATCAGGCAAGAGAGGCTGGAAAAGCATCAGAGCCAAAGGAAGAGTGTGTGAAAGCTCTGAGGTAGGTGGGAAGGTGAGGAGCACGAGGGCTGGACCTATGGAGGCTCACGTGTTGGAATGAGTATAGCAGACCTCAGAGAAGGCAAAAGATGGAACTTGACCCTGTAAGCGATGTCTGGCAGCTCCATCTTCACCCTCAGAGCAGCAGAGAGGTCCTGGGGGAATCGTCTTAAGTTGAGGCATTTGAGACCCCTCTGGCTGCCACACAGGGATGATCTAGGGAGTGACTAAGGGAACGTAGATGTGGAGACAAGAGGAGTGGGGTGATGGTGGCTTGGGTAGGGGTGGGGGCAGAGACTAGGGAGGAAGTGAATAAAACCAGAGATATTCACAAAGAATGAACCAATATAACCTGGTAGTGAGGCAGATGGGGGATCCAAGAGAGGGGACATTCCCTGAGGCTGAGGACATGGCCCAAGGACTTGACCCTGTGGCAGAGGCAGAAGATGGGCTCCAGATGGGACAGGTTGCATGTGACACCCCTCTGAGAAAGTAGAGAGGACCAGGGAGGCATGGAATGATCTGCCAGGAGCAGAGGTATTTTGCATTTGAGACTCCTTCTGCTAAGATCCTCACTCCTGGGGCAGCCAGGGAGGAAGGGGGAAGGTGGGAAGAGGAAAGTGAATCTACAAGGTCCCTGGCTACCAGGGATGGGCATCCGGTGCATGTGAGCAGAGGACCCATGGTGCTGACACCCTCTAGAAGGCTGCCTAGCTGCTCAGTGGAGATGAGAGACAGATAACCCAACCTAGATGACCCAATCTGGGAGTAGGATGACCCAGTGCTGAGGATCAAAACCAAGACCACAATTAGAGGCCAGCTTGGGCTGGTTCTGTAGCTGGGCAATGAGTCTAACAGCTTGGGCCAGGGGGTAGGGTTTTAAGCCTGACTCACCTGCCTGCACTCTCCAAGGAAAATCCTCCCCGGAAAGGCCCAATGACTTGAATCCTAATTTTCCTGCTCAAGGGAAAAGACACTGTGATCTATCTCCTACTGGGGCAACATTAAGAGAGTGAGTGCTTCTTCTCTCACAGTTCAAGACGTGTAAGACGTTTTATGTAACACCCTAAAGGCCCTTCTGAGCATGTTATAAAAAGAACTGATTTTAAAGTGACAGGCTTTTATTTTTAGTCCCCTGAAAATTGTAGTGATGCCCAAGAAGTTGCACCAAAATGCCAATCCTTGGAGACATGTCTGGCACCTGGTCCCCCAACTCCAAATGGAAAAGGAACACAACTCTGGGGACATTATGACAGCTGCCTCTTCTCTGCATCTCACCACCTCAAATGCCTTTCTCTATCAGCATCAAGCTATTAGGTGTCTGCTCAAAGTCTGTTATGGGCCCCATGGGCTCTAATAGTTGGACCCCAACATTTGAGACCAGCTCCCACATTAATACCAACAATGGCCCAAACTAGCCAGTTCAGGTGTCCTACATGGGACAAAGCCTGGGTTCATGGATCTCCATCAGCCTCTAACATGGCTGAAGGGAGGACCTCACCTCCTCTGCAGTGTTGACTCAGGTACCTGGGGCACTGCAAGAGGCCAAAGGGGGCTTGCAGGGCTTCTGCATTGAGTCCACCACTGGTGAGAGGCACTGGCATGTGACACCTCTATGGGCTCTGCAGAGGTCTGGAAAGAGTCCTTCTCTGGGGATGGCACTGAGTAGGTGAGTCCAGTGTTCCCAGAGAGGGTGAGTTGCACCTGGAAAAGTGGCAAGGCAGTGAGGAAGGCAGGCACAACTCAGCTGGCTGTCCTGAATGCCTCATGCAGTGATACCGTTCTCATGCCTGTGTTCTCTCTCCCACTCCAGCCATGCCTGAGTGCTTTCCTTGGGCTGTATGGGCCTTCTCTCTGCCCTTCCTTTCTCCTACTGGTCACCTACTCCCTAGACTCCCCACTTTCTCCCAGTTTGACCTCCCCTTCTTTCAGCCCCACAGGCCTCTTTTTCTCCCTGGCCTGGTTTCCTCATGAGATGGAAACCTGCATTTTCTTTTTTTTTTTTTTTTTTGAGACAGAGCCTCAAGCTGTAGCCCTGGACAGAGTGCCGTGGCATCACAGCTCACAGCAACCTCCAACTCCTGGGCTCAAGTGAGTCTCCTGCCTCCGCCTCCCAAGTAGCTGGGACCACAGGCGCCCGCCACAACGCCCGGCTATTTTTTGGTTGCAGCCGTCATTGTTGTTTGGCAGGTCCGGGCTGGGGACGAAACCTGCATTTTCTTCCTCAGCTCTCTTAGGTCTCATTTAAATGTTTCCTCTTAAGGTTTCTTCTTCATCCCTTTCTTACTTTGTGTTTGGGAAACAGACAACTACAGCAGGGTGGCCCAGAGGGACATAGCTCCAAATGTAGTCCAGGATCCTGCCATGGCTCCCCCACTTGCTCTGCAGCTGATGCAGAGCTACCAGACGTGGGAAGGAGAGTGCTCATTCTGAGGAAGGTCTCTATCTAGGAAGAACACAAGATGGGCCGATGCAAATGCTGTTCAAGTACATGGTACAGCATGCACAAAGGCCCTAAGGCACACTCTTGAAACTTGCAGGAGGCCAGTGTGGGTGGCCTTTAGTGGCTGAACAGGAAAGAGAAATATGGTGGCCACAAAGGAAGGGGCTCCAGGGCTCTCAGCCGGAAAGGGAAGAAGACCGGGAAGCCTCTACTCCCGGTACTGCCTTATTAAGCTCACCAGTCTGAGCAGGTACAGCCAGGAAGAGGAAGGATGGTGCACCCACATGTCTGTGGCCAGTTTGTAGAGTGCTGGCTCCAGAATGAACTCTGGGAAAAAAGGCTTGGCGTAGGAATTGACCAAAGCCAACTGGCCCTACAAGTGGTGAAACAGAAGGGAGTGGATTGGCACTTCAGAACACAGACCAAAGGAGTACTCTCAGGGCCAGGTTCCTTTCAGCAGCTGCTCTTCCTTCTAGCTACTGTCGTCACCACCTTTGCTGAAGGCCTCCCCCATGTACCCACATGCAAACATGGCAGGGAAGCTAAAGCCATGACTTCTCCAAAACCCGGAGGGACAATGGAACATCCACAGGCCTTCACACCCCTTCTCAGGGGCATCCAATAACATCATTCACTCCGACACATTTGTCAGGCATCCACCACAGGCAGCAGATAAGACCCTGGCTCTTTGGGGCTTCCAGGCACTGATGCAGCCTCCGCACCAGTCCTGTCTGGGCTGGTGGCACAACTGTTCCACCACCCCTGATGGCAAATGACATTTTTTTTTTTTTTTTT